AACAAAGGACATAAAAATGCCAAATAATAGAAAGGTAGCAGAGCAAAGACTGTTACTGCTAGGAAAGCGTCTTAAAGGTGATGCAAACTTTCAAGAACAGTATTGTGAATTCATGGACAAAGTAATAAAAAGTGATTATGCACGAAAGGTTCCGAGCAAAAAGCTGACGCAAAATGACGGTCGAGTTTGGTATTTGCCTCACCATGGTGTGATACATCCAAAGAAAAACAAATTGCGGGTTGTATTTGACTGTGCGGCACGCTTTCAAGGAAGATCATTAAATGATGAGTTACTTCAAGGACCCAATCTGACAAATACACTGATAGGAACATTAATCAGATTTCGAGAAGAAAAAATTGCAATCATGGGGGACATTGACAGTATGTTTTATCAGGTTAGGGTTCCAGAATGCGACGCTAGTTTACTACGGTTCTTATGGTGGGAAGAAGGGGACACAAATAAACGTGTGATTGAGTACCAAATGATGGTTCATTTATTTGGTGCAAAATCTTCACCAAGCTGTGCAAACTACGCTTTAAAAAGAACTGCTCAGGACTTTAGTGGTAAGATAGACTCTGATATAGTCGACACGGTGATGAAAAATTTCTATGTAGACGACTGTTTAAAATCAGTTGACAATGTTGATCATGCGAAATCAGTGGTGAAAGATCTACAAACAGTATTAAGTAAAGGCGGGTTTCATATTGCAAAATGGTTGAGCAATAGTCGTGAAGTTATCTACTCTGTTCCGGCCATCGACAGAGCAAAGGAATTTCAAGACCTAGATTTAGATCAAGATGTTCTTCCAATTGATCGTGCTCTTGGGGTACAGTGGAATGTTGAACTAGACCAATTTTGTTTCGAGGTTAACCTCAAAGAACGTCCACTTACCAGACGAGGTATGTTATCTATGATCAGCAGTGTTTATGACCCTTTAGGATTTTTAGCACCGTTTATGCTTCAAGCCAAGAACATATTGAAAGATATGTGCAGGTTAGGTTTAGGCTGGGATGATCCCGTTCCTGAAAAGGTAGTTGAAAGATGGTGTTTATGGTTAAAGGATGTTGAGAAGTTGTCGGATTTCAATGTTACTAGATGTTTAAAGCCATCTCATTTCAAGGAAATCAAAACAGCATCATTACATCATTTCTCGGATGCAAGTGAGACTGGTTATGGAATTGTCACATATCTTAGAATGGTAGATTCAAAGGATCGAATGCATTGCTCTTTCGTGATAGGAAAGTCACGCGTTTCACCGTTGAAACAGGTAACAATTCCAAGGTTAGAACTCACTGCGGCCACGGTTGCTGTTCGCACGGACAAAATGTTGAAATCTGAGATTGACTTTCAGTTGAATGATTCAGTTTTCTGGACAGACAGTATGTCAGTCATTCGTTACATTAGAAATACCTCCTCAAGATTCCGTACTTTTGTAGCAAATCGGCTATCGGTAATTCATGAGGGTTCAAACCCCGATCAGTGGCATTACGTGAGCACAAAACTCAACCCAGCAGATGTGGCTTCGAGGGGTATTCCAGTTGATGACCTCCTTAAGCATTGGATTAACGCGCCATCTTTCTTGTCGCAACCTGAATTACCAGTATCTCCCACTCAAATTCCGGATTCTGTACCGGATGATGATCCAGAAGTTAAGAAAATAAACATGCAAAAGTCCACAGACAGTGTGACTCGCGAAGTAGTAAATGATCCAATTCATAAGCTTATATCACACTATTCCTCATGGATAAAATTGAAAAGAGCGGTAGCATGGATCATGAAAGTTAGGGAAAGATTATTACACTCTATACAGTACAAAAGGAATGTTGTAGTTGACCATCCTCACCCAGTCGATCACAAATTTCTTACTGTTCAAGACCTAGAAAAGGCGGAATTTACAGTTTTAAGTTATATTCAGAGAAACGCTTTTTCAAGGGAAATAGCATCTCTTTCGTCTGGACAATCCAAGTTGAAACGTGACAGTTCAATTAGAAATCTTGATCCAGTTTTAGATAATGGAATTCTGCGCGTTGGAGGACGTTTAAACGAATCAGCAATGCCTACTGAAATGAAAAATCCATTTATTTTGCCGAAGAACTGTCAAGTATCTACATTGATATTAAGACAAATACATCAAGATTTTAATCATACCGGTCGAAACCAGATGCTGTCTATACTAAGAGAAAGATATTGGTTGATAAACGCGCCATCTGCAATTAGAAAACTTATTTCAAGCTGTGTTGTATGTCGTAGACAAAGAGTGAAGTTTGGTGAACAGAAGATGTCGAGCCTACCGAAAGATCGTGTCACACCAGATGACCCCCCGTTTACATTTGTAGGTGTAGACTACTTTGGTCCCTTCGAAGTTAAACAAGGTAGAAGCTATGTAAAACGTTATGGTGTCATATTTACATGTTTAACAAGTAGAGCAATTCATTTAGAAGTTGCAGCATCTTTAGATACTGATTCTTACATCAATGCACTGAGGCGTTTCATATCACGACGGGGTCAAGTCACAAAAATTAGGTCTGATAATGGAAGTAACTTTATTGGTGCTAATAGAGAATTAAAGAAAGCGATCTCTGAATGGAATAAACATCAAATTCAAAGTGCAATGTTACAGAAAAACGTAGACTGGCAGTTTAACCCACCAGCCGGCTCACATCATGGAGGTGTCTGGGAACGGATGATTCGGACAGTACGTCAGACTTTACATAGTGTTGTTAAGGAACAAACTCTTAACGATGAAGCTTTACATACTCTTTTTTGTGAAGTTGAGTCAATAATCAATGATAGACCAATTACCTTGAATCCCGATTCACATGATGACCTTGAAGCTTTAACTCCAAACCACTTGCTTCTGATGAAACGTAAGCCTAATTTACCTCCTGGTATATTTGTTAAAACGGACAGTTATACCAGACGTCGTTGGAAACAAGTTCAATATATGGCCGACCTGTTTTGGCGCAGATGGACACGGGAGTACCTACCTTTGCTCCAGGAACGACAGAAATGGTTTGATACTAAGAGAAATATGAGTATTGGTGACATTGTATTAGTGGTAGATTCGAACGCGCCGAGAAACTCGTGGTTATTAGGGAAAGTAACAGATACAATTCCAGATAAATTAGGTTATGTCAGACAAGTGAAATTGAAAACTTCATTCAATAACAGTCTTGTTCGTCCAGTTGACAAGTTATGTTTACTACTTGAATCATTGAATTAGATGTGTTTAAATAATAAAAGAGCACAAAAAGAGTTTAGTTTGCTTTACTGTGTTAAGGGGCACAATAATCCCCGTAAAGCAATCTGTCATGTGTGGAAAGGTTATTTTTACACTTTAAGTCTACAAACATTTTCAGATATTGTAAGAAATTTATGAACTATTTTTTAACTTTATGAACTATTGTGAACATTTATGAACTATCTTTGAACTTTGTGAACTATCTTTGAACTTTGTGAACTATTTGTGAGCTATAGTTTTCTTTAGAAGTTGCAATTTGGTAATGCTGTTATATACTGCAAATTGTTAACGTTGTTATTTGATTTGATAAGTAATTGTGTCAGATTTATCTTCCACAATTAGGGGGCTGGGATGTAGGTGCCACTTTTACATTTTCCATACACATTCTGTATAGACGGTTTTTAAACAGGTACATACAAGATGATAACGTCGTCTTCTTTCATTCGTAAATTTTTTATTGATAAGTTAAAGCGTGTGACAAGCTGTTGTTGAATTTCTAGAATTTGTACTGAATAATAGTCAAATTTCCTGTGGTTAAATACTATAATTTGGTAAGAATATGGTCAGCAAGTATGCTTATTTTCTCCGTACATGTATAATATCCCATAAATTTTGCTAGAAGTGTTTAGAAGTGGCGCAAGGTCCGTACCCCACCCAATTTCATTGCATTGAATTGTATACTTATTACGCGTCATATATCATGTACAGTCTGAAGTTAATTTAAGATATATAAGTGTATTTTGTGTTTATTTTAATATATCTAAAGTGTATTTTTTGTGTATATAAAGAATACTGGACTACTTAAATCTTTGTCAAGGGAAGTAACTGCTGCAAAGTGTAAACATATTTTTCTCATAGTTGCGTCCCTTTATTCAAATTTCATATTGTATTTTTCATGGTCATTCATTTCATGATAATTATTTCTAGAGCTAAGGCAAATGAAAGCATCTACATGTTTGTATTCAATTATTTCTAGCAGTATTGAGTTTGATATTTTTCTAGCAATACTGAATGATTGTTTTTTTTTGTTTGTTTCAGTCAATCGTAATATGCCATGTGGAAATAAAAGATTTTACAAGGTTACGAATTGTAAATTTTGACATTTCAAGTCCCTGGTTTACTAGACAGTACATACATATAAAGGTATACTATTCACAAATTATATGAGATATTACATAAGCATTCTATACTCAGAATCAACATAAATCATTGTACTTTATTGTATGATTAATCCTTTGAAAGAGAATGAAAATACAGGATTCCTTTTAACAATTAGTTACTTGCCCTTTGCATGGAGCATAGAAATGTATGCTGTCATCCGTTGTATAAACAAATTATAGTTTTACTGATACCTGTCTATAATAAATTACAATGAGTAATAATAAACATAATTTTGTCAATTTACCATGTGTTCTAGATAGTAAATGTTGCATTTTACATGACTGACTTAATTTAGAAGAAATATTTAATTGAAAGCATAGTAACGTCCCTTGACTTAAGTTACACCATTTGTCAAAAGGTCTGTTCTAATTATACAATATTTAAAAGAAGATATAGTTATACACCTTAATTTTTATTCACACCATTTGTTAAATGCCATAACTGTTTAATAAAAAAGTTATGCCCCTTGTTTTCAGCGATATTTAAATGAAAACATAGTGATGTCCCTTGTTTCTTGTTCCCACCATTTGTCAAACGTCTCATTTTGTGCTACTGTAAACCAGTTTCGCCAATCTCCTATCTTACCTAGGATAAGCAAATAATATGTTTTAAGGTCGTAAATTGCATTTAATACAGTTCGGGATAATATTTTGGAATTTTAAACCATAACATTATGTAAATGTTTGTTTCGTTGGTTTTACGGCACGCTAACACACCCACAGTACAGGTCATATGGCACCGAAATTTGATTTACCTCGGATGTTACAAACTTCACAAAGCAACTTCAGGGGGTCCAAACTACGCACTTGCTGGAGATAAGGGATGTATAGACTACAGTAATTCGAACCCATTAAGTCGACTCTTACGACCACGTAGGGATAAACGGTGGCTGCAATCCCTTTGTTTCAACCATTAAAGACAACCCCCCCCCCAGTCACACAAGACAAACAGTAAAATAATTTGTTTAATTTTATGCCTGTTGATTAAAATAAAGACTAAGCCACTGCTGTCTGTTGAAATTTGAAAAGTCACATTAAGACAGGAAACGTGTTCATTGCAATAACACAAATGAAAATAACCGAACCAGACTCCTTATAAATTATATAAAAATAATTGCATAAAATAACTATAAAACAACCTCACCTTTTCGAAATACGGAAAAGTCATTTTTAGTCATCTGTCCCATTCTTACTTTTATTTCTTCAGGCAATTTGTCCATCTTTCCCTTTCGTAGTTTATCAATTTGGCAGTTCGAGACGATTTGTTGCAAGTCTTCATCACTTACATCGTTACCAAGAAACTTGCATACCTTTTTCATCTCCCCTTGACAATCCTGTTCAAATATAAAAAAACATGTACCTGTATATAATAATTAAATATATGTAATAAAAGTTTCTAAATAAAGGTTTCTGATAAAAATGATATAAACATTAATTTTTAACTGTTATGTGCGATTAATGACCAATTTTGCAGTATTTTCAACCATATTTCTACTGCGTTAGTAACGCAGTAAGGGCTATTTTTGCATGTTGCATATTTCGAGCTCTTTTTGTTGATTTATATGGGTTGTAAGTGCTGTTTGCAATGTAGAAATTATTATCTTAGTTCACTTCACAATATTTTACTCTTTATGCATTTTCTCAATTTTCATGAAAATAAGCATAAATCTGGAGGTGTGCTGCTTTAAACCAGCATGTTTGGAACTTGTATTGCTTAAGTTCTATGCATGTTCATAAGAATCAGGAGGTTGTGACCTGGCCTACAGTTCGTCCAGAAGGACAAATATGTTTGGCCTATGAAACATGTCTTCTTTTTTGCAGTCAGGACACATACCATATATAGTTTATGCATATTTGTTTATCATTTTCAACAAAACCCATTCTTTTTCACCATCTTTAATCCACAGTACAAAGAACCTGTCTAGAATTGCCTTGGAGAGTTTATATAAGGCAATGTTATAAGCGCGTGCGCAAGGTTATCAAGGAATCCAATCAACATACGTCATAAGTCTGTCACAATATTTCAGTAAACTTTGAAAGAATTAACGAAATAAGTATTACTTTTTCATATGTTTAAATAATCATGTACATCTGGGATTAAAAATGATTCTTATGTCCCAGTATACATGTATGCCATTATTCTTATACTTCTTTCTTGTTGCTAAAAATAAAGTTTACCTGATGCAGGTTTTCGTAATACACCAGATGAATGGGAACATCTGGATTTTCTTTCATAAACGTCTGCCATTCTCGTAAATACTCGGGATATGAACCATAGTCAACTGTAAAATAAAAAGTCTTAACAGCAATTAGAAACTAAAAAATATGGAAGAATTACAAACACCATTTGGAGCAATTACAAAAACCATATAACTACAAACACCATTTTGGAAAATTACAAACACCATATAATTACAAACACCATATGGAAAAATTACAAACACCACATGGAACAATTACAAACACCATAACATTACAAACGCCTTTTGGAAAAATTACAAACACCATATGGGAACGATTACGAACACCATATAATTACAAATACCTTATGGAACAATTACAAACACCATATGGAACAATTACACACAGTATATGGAACAATTAAAAACACCATATGGAGCAATTACAAACAGTATATGGAAAAATTACAAACAGTATAAGGAAAATTACAAACACCATATGAAACAATTACAAACAGTATATAGAACAATTACAAACACGATATGGAACAATTACAAAAAGTATAAGGAACAATTACAAACAGTATAAGGAACATCATATATCATATGGATATAAACGTCATACCTTCTCCCCTCATGAACATCTGCAAGTAGTTCTCAAATTTTCCGTCGTAATCATAAAATGATAGACCTCTTGTATGATTGTAGAACGATACAGCAACGTCCTTGGGATTTCTTACCAATAATACTATGTTCAACTTCTTCTCTATAACATCCTGTGAGTAAAAGACAATGGAAAATTATTTTGCAGTTTCGCTACAAACCTCCTCTATATCGATGAACTTTGTTTAGTTTCAAACATACAAAAACAAACAAACAAATAAGCACTTGAAAATATGTATCTATGTTATGGTTGTCAGGACCAATAGAGTTGGGGAAATTGTCTCGCGGAGGGGGGGGGGAAGGGGGAAAGTTCGAAACATAAAACAGTCCGTTTTTAAAAGAAATTGACAAATTGTGATAAAATACCGTTATTTTTATGTCTTATTATGTCTCACTATTGTTTTTATTTTTAGATAAAATGGATCTAAAAATATTTATCTCTTACTTTTGGAGGGGAATTTTTCTCAGAAATACGTGAAATTATATACTTTCTTTGGAGAGGTATGGGGCCGACAGTCGGCCCCAAATTTGCCCTAAAACTTACTAAACTTTCTAGTATGGTAATGGTGTACCTTTGGCAAGTATTTGACTTTCAAATGAGAATTCAGAACCCTTGGTTGTGGCAAATTTTCGGTGTATTCTATTGGCGATGCATCTATCATACTTTGACCTTTTTGAACTTCTGTGACGTCACATGTCCCTTTCTTCACCAAATATATCATCTCCCATAGCCAATGAGTTCCTTTGAAAATGAATATAAAATGTGTATCTATGTACATTCTATATGGAAGCTGGGAATAAACAATCATCTGTAATGAAGGTTTAAAAATAAATTTGTTAGTCTAAATCATGTAGCATGTATGTATAAAAATGTCTTTGAAAAAATAGAATGAAATTTAATGTTGGTCCAGCGCTGGTTAAAAATGCGGACTTTTGCTTTTAAAGTGACGTATAAAGCTACATCTCTGCTGCTATTTTAACTTTGAAAAAGAATACTTCCAAAATTAATAATTATGTTAGCAAAGCACAAAATCATTGATAAACAGTTAAAAAAAAACTATAAATACAATAATATACATAATAATACATAATATTTTGTTCCGGAACATTTTATTCTGTTAAAACATACAATATTCATGCGTGTTAAATATATAACATTGAAATTCTCAGTTTTAACTCTTTCGTGAATCAGCTATAAGATTGAAGATAGGAACAATGTTATTTTACTGTTAACAAATTAAAAAAAATCATTAGATATACAGCTTTATATAATAATTAGAACTAAATTCTCACATAATTTGTCACATTCAAAAACTTACGGTGTTCCATAAGGGCCATTCCTATGAATAACGCGAAAAGAAGGCACTTTTCGCGTTTCAAATTTCTTTATTTCTAGGCGATGGCCCTTACGGAACACCGTAAAAAGCCTGTGAGTGATTATTGTATGTATTGCATATGTACCTGTTTTCGGATAAGATTCTAAAATAATATCTTCATCTTTGCATTTTATAGTCGGTATCCTGTTGAATAAGTCCTGGTGTACTTCAAATGGATATGAAAATGTACATTGTCTGTAACCATTATCTTCATCGACCACGTCATATGTGATGTTGTCACCGTCTGGCACGTCCTTAAATACGTGTCTGGGCATTATCTAAAATATACATGCAAAACACGTGTAAAAATGTACTGTTTTGGTGGTAATATTCATTTATAATACAAAGGAAGGAAGGAAGGAAGGAAGGAAGGGAGGAAGGAAGGAAGGGAGGGGGGAGGAAGGAAGGAATGAAGGAAGGAAGGGAAGGAAGGAAGGAAGGAAGGAAGGAAGGAAGGAAGGAAGGGAGGGAGGGAGGGAGGGAGGGAGTGAAAAAGGGAGGGAGGGAGAAGGAAGGAAGAAAGGAAGGAAGGAAGGAATGAAGGAAGGAAGGAAGGAAGGAAAGAAGGAAGGAAGGAAGAGAGGAATGGAGTAAATCGATCTGTAAGTAAATTATTGATTAAAGTGACATCTGCCAATAAACATTTAGATAAAAATAACAAATGGAATGGTAAACTGTAGCCCATTTGACCCAAGTAAAAAAAACCAGCATGTCTGATCTATATACTTTGCACATTAGTACGTTTTTACAGGCCGCGCGACCAGTTTAATTTTGTTAATACGTACTAATAAATTTCAACCTGCTTAGTGTTTTAAATTATTTTTTATGAAAAGTCAATTTACTAGACTCATTAACTGTTTGCCGATTTACCAAAATAAATGTGTTACCATTCATTTGAAATACTGCAATCCTATTGGACAAAAAATAATTTGAAACACTAATTAAGATATATGCACGGTCGTGCAATACCATTTTTACAGAGTCGCAAAAGTAGAGTACTATAAAATACATTAATATAAACTTTACGCACAGGAACTTGCAATTCTATCAAATAACCTAAATTAATGATAATATCCAAAATTGTGTTTATTTATACGCATATTTTTGGATATAATCATTAATAATTAATTAATTAATTAATTAGTAATTTAAGTCATATTCGTATTTACATGCTGTAAGTTTGTACAATTTATGTTGTTCAGCTTAATGCATTATAGACTGAGATAAAATTATGTATAATAAAAACACCAGTTATGTATTATACAATGTACATGTTTAGATTATTTAGAGTTTCCTAATTTCTGAAAAAAGCTCTTCTAATAGCAAAGTTTTAGTTCAGAAATATATCCATAACTCATAAACCACATGGTAAATTCTATTTAAATTTTGCATACAGGTGACTTTAAAGCATATAACTCTCTTATGTTGTCCATTTTTACAGTTCCTTATAGTGCCCATTAGCCATGGTCTACCTTAAGTTTTAATGATATATGTGGTAAATATATGTGCTTGGATTGACAAACATACATTTTATTTGGATTTAAATGCGTTTGGAGCTCCACGCCTGTAAATACGGATTTGGACCACAAATTTTTTATATAGCCTGATTACCGCCTCAAAATTATGCCCACCACTCACTACGCTACGCGCTTGATTACTGAGTCGGCCATATTGGGTTTGATTTTATTTTGAATCGAAAGTTGATTTTACTTCAGTAATTAAGAATCATTTACATTACAATTTTTCTGCGTTTTGTAGCTGCAATCAACTATTGCGTCAACATATTTCACGCTTAGTAGAAATGTAATAGATTTAAGAGTCTGATGTTTATAAACGCAAAATCAGTTTATCAAACAGTAAAATATATACATTATAATTTATAATATAGTATTATGTTAGATAGTTAGTATTGTTAGATAGTATTAGTATATAGTATTGCATAAAATATCAGCTAAATCCTTTACCTTTTTATGTAGACGTAGATCCGCAACTTTTTTTATGTACCTACATATATTGTATATGTGTGACAGATGATAAAAGCATTGATAATTCCGTTTGCCTTACACGCACACGTACGTTGGGAAAATACATTAAACTGTTTTGTGTTAACGTTACATGGGTTCGTGATGAAAATCGATCGGAGTTAATTTTATAAAGAAACGTTTCGTACAAGCTAATATAGGCCTATACCAACAACCAATTTGCATTTTCTTAATCATTTCTTTATTATTATTATTATTATTATTTATTATTATTATTATTATTATTATTATTATTATTATTATTATTATTATTATATATAATTTAGGAACTATTTAATTTCTTAACGCGGATCGACAATTTAATTTAATCGGTTTGTATTCGTGATTTTTTTTTTATTCTATTCCTCTATACTCATCGATCGATATACCCATTAGCGATTTATGTTGTTTTGATTCCTGTCGTCTGGTGGCAGCATAAATCAGTTGTCATGATCGATCAAACAGAAGGCGAACTGAGTAAAATAATTTGGATAACGGTTTTGTGAAAACCGTGCACGTCTGTTTGTGTTTTTGTTTCTTTTAATTACGAATTATAGTACATGTATTAATTTTCGACCAACATATTATTATTTTTCTCGTACACATGTAGAAGCTTAGCATTTTTGTTTGAACAAAACACGTTAACAGAAGCTTCGAATTTTCAGCAAAAGCGTGATAACTTATCGTTTATTTATTGGTGTAGGAAACAGATATATTTCATTACATTGAAATGCATGTATTCTCATTTATTGAGATGTTTTTTTTTTCAAAATTAAATAAATCAAGGAACTATGTGTAGATAACGTTGCATAACCGATGCTATAACTATTGTATCAAATTACACTAGTAAGCATGAAGTTGAGGAGAAAAATCGCCACGACAAAGGAATATTGGAACTTTTACCAATATTGTCAGCTTTTCTGAACACATTTGTCAAGAACGAGAAGTCGCCGTGTATATATTTACATGATTTGCTATAGAATCGATCATTTCATTACAGATCTCACTCAGATTTATAAAGATGGGACCCAGGAATTAGCAAATATTCGGGAAATAGTGAACAGACTGTTAGAGAAAGTTGGAAAATACATTTCCGGTGAGTCATTTATTTGCTTTAATCAAATACATGCATGCATTGTACGTCACATTTTTGATGTCATTACTCATACATGTAATATCAAATGCATGATTGTGAAAACATTTTTACAAATGTAGAAAAAACAACGACATTTATACAGTTTTGTGTTACCTATCATTCTTCACTTTTGACACACAATGAAAAAATCTCAATGATTAAAAAACATTACTTACTGTCTGATAAGCATACTATGTTCGAACGCTGTACAACACAATTATACTGTTGACAAATTTCGAGCCTATTCGTTCGAGTCATTTCGACTTCTTAACAATGTACTAAGCAAATACTTCAGATTATTTTAGTTGGATAATAATATTAAGTCACATTGACACTAAAAAGTAGAGATAGCACCCGGAGTCCGGAGAAAAGATCATAACTTTACATCTACTAGTACCATTCAGCCTTATTGGTAGATAGGAAAATACATCAGTTCTCTCTTCGTGCATTATTCAGATATTAAACTTGATAGCTATTTAGCGGCATTCGAACCAATGGCGACAAAGGACAAAATATTCAATTTCAAGGAATTCAACCACTCGGCTACGAAGCCCCAATTTAACTTACTTCGAACAGTTTGTTTCTTTGAGATAAATGTATTTTCAAGCGCATAACATGCTTAAAATTATGTAAGTCATAGAGATTAGCATTCTATTTTCTTATTGTTTTAATAAGATGCCGAGACAAAAGTTTGAAGACGTTGCTGGTGGTGATACTTTGCTAGTTGACGTTGTAGATGAAGATAATGGATACAGACAATGTACATTTAGATTTACGTTTGAACAACATCAGGAAAGTTTTAACAATATCCCAAACATAAAATGCTATGACGATGACATTATTCTCAACTCATATCCAAAAACAGGTATGTTTATATTCATATTGTTTACTTGCCTCTCGTACTTGATCGGTGCCCACTGCATGTCTGCCCGGTGATGCTGCGTGATTGGGCGCATGGCTACTATGATTGTTGTTGACCTTTGGTATCAGTTACCCGCACTCCAGAGCATGCCCATTGATTGGCTCATTTTTGCTGGGGTTTACTTCTTGTGACGGAAGATAAAGGGAATGCGACAGAAATATCATATTCAGGTGCTCGTTCATTGGTTCTTTTTTTTCCGGGGTTTCATACTGTGATAACAGGGAACGTGTTTTTATGTTTGACTATGATACAAAAGAGAAAGAACATCAAAACACTCGGCAATCTGATTAATACTAGGGGACTACGCCCCCTCGTACAAATCAGATAGCCTCGTGTTTCTATGCTCTTTCTATTACTAATACATCGCATATCTTCGTTTATATTGCTAATTGTCGCAATATTGAAAGTTTAACAATAGCTTTACTATGAACTCATTTGTTTAACTGATGGTTTGAACGTTAAATTTCAAAACAACTCCAAATTGTAAGGTTTTGCTATTAATACTTTGTTACTTGATTATTTATTACCAGATCAAATATCGAGGATATTTAGATATAAGCATGTATTCTTTATGGTGGCATATTTCTGCCATCAGATAACCATAACTAACTAGTTAATTAAGAGGTTAACTAGTTACGTTGTATCTTGTTCAGGAACACATTGGCTATGGGAAATGCTTCAGATGGTAATTAAACAAACGGCAGAAGTGTCAAATGCAAATAAACTTCGTGAGATGATCGAAGCTTTGCCGACGGAAGTTGTAGACAATTTATCTTCTCCAAGAGTTTTAAATACACACTTGAAAATAAGATATCTGCCAAAGGTAAGATATATGCATATGGTGTTTTGCATTCAATTTGCTAAAATTTTACAATAAGTTAACAGCTTATACAAAATTGTTTTATAAAATTAATGTCAGTACAAGGGGCAATTCTCATTTGGTTCTATGTTTCACCATAATATACATTATACAATTATACAATTATTTGGAGGTCTATATTATATAGTTTTCGGACCTGAGAAAATTTATATTGACCAAAATCAATAGTCCGAAGCCGATATATCTTTGATCAAGTGAGAAAAAAACAAACTACCCCCTTGTGGCTTAGGGGTTGCCTTGACGTATTGAAGAATTAGTATGACAGCCACAGTTTACTCTTGGAGTGTCGTAAGAGGCAACTTCGTGGGTTCGAATTACTTAAGTCTATGCATATTTTAGCTTCATCAAGTTAAGTAGTTTGACCCATGGAGTAGCTTTAAGTTTGTAACACCTGATGTAAGCCAAAATTATATTTCCTGTTTCGGCGCCAAAAGGGTTGAGTTGTGTTGGTGCGCCGTAAAACTAAACCAAACTATCAATCAAAATAACTATATATAGACCTTTAGTTAACAAAGTAATAAAGAACTGTTTTATATGCAGCTCATCAGACAAATATGTCAGACACATTTAGAATTAGTTAATTTTAGACAATGACGTGTATAGGTTAACGTGTACGTAGTACATGAATTCAAAGTGTCACAGGTTTAATAGTTGTATAGGCGTTTTTATAGGTGTCAAGTTTTTCTGTATTTAGGTACATCAAGTGTGTTGAATACTTATGCAATATAACATACTGAAATTTAGATCTTACTAAATTAGAGAAAAACAGAATCCCTTAAGAAAGCCCAACACTGAAAAATTGAAAATGTTGTAAGCTCGGTTTGATTGGGCTTGGTGGTTATTGCAAGCTACTGTTTTAATTTGACAAGTCAGATTTGTACTGACTGTATAAAAAACTCCTTCCTTCCTTGATCTTTCAGGACATCATAAAGAAGAGATTGAAAATGGTTTTGTTACTGAGAAATCCAAAAGATGTTGCAGTGTCTTTCTACCATCACCTTAAAGGAATAAAGTTCTACGAATATGATGGAAAATTTGAAAACTTTTTACGATTGTTTCAGAGTGGAGGAGGTATCTGTTGAAGCAATTTATAAACATGAACTGCTTCGTGTATGTTTTAAGTACCAGCTTTAAGTCGGATTATCATTTAATTTATTAGCTACATCACAAAAATAAAATTCAATCCAAAAATGGAACTTTTAATGGATGTGATGTGTCGTAGCATTCAAAATTTTGTATGCATTTCATTTTATCAACCGCATTGTTACATTCTTCTGGTCCTCCGGGATTATTGATCACATCTTTAACTCTTTTGTATGAATTTGAATAATGCTCATGTCTGTCTTTTCTTCAATATTTCATTAATTTAAAATAAAACGTCTACGACAGTCATTAAAACTGTTACAGTAATAATATTTTGATTACATTTTAGCTGTTTAAAAATATATGCTTTTGCTTTAGTACGTTGATTTTGTTATGTATTTCAGTTTATGGTACTAAGTTTTATATTTTTCTTCACACATAATATATTTCAGTGGATTACGGGTCATATCCCGAATATTTGCGAGAATGGCAGACTTTCATTAAAGAGAATCCGGATTTTCCGGTCCATGTTGTATATTATGAAGACCTTATAGCGGATTGTTTAGGGGAAATGAGGAAGGTTTGCGAATTTCTTGGCAAAGAAGTTAGCGCTGATTTACTACGTCAAATTGTTGAAAGTTGCCAAATAGATAAAATGAGACAAGTAAAAGATGAAAAAATGACTGATGCAATGAGACAGGCACAAAAAGCTGCACTGAATGCTGACTTTAACATGTTTAGAAAAGGTAACAAGAGCCCATTTATGTTGTTTGAAAAGCATATGAAAATGTATGCACTGTTTGGGAAAGACATGCACGCTTTAAATGAAAGTAGTTTCAGTTTGAAAATCAGTCTCATGTGTAAAAGGCTTTATACCAGAGAAAACTGAAAGCCGTGTCCCTGGTATGGTCGAATATATACTTACGACATGTTAAATAAAATAAATGCACGAGACAAGTTGTATGCAAAAAGAATAAGAATGAAATGATTTTTAATATAAAAGAAAAAAGAATATGCTTAAACTAGATCTAGAAATATAAGATTCTGTAATGTTATGGACATACTTTGTACTTAGAGTGAACAGTTTTTGCTACAAAAATGTTCCATATGGAAGTAATAACATCAAAAAGTTTACATTTAGGTTGTATTACAACAAGATTATTTTGGACATTATATAATAAAATCATCATTATCATTATAAAACTCTAACCTACCCTGCCAGTAGAGAGCGGGTCAAACCTGCACATCCGTGCATTCTGACCAGATTCTTGACTGTCGGCTGAGTAACTTAAATATTCACTTCGATTTCCCAGAAAATAATTTGAACTTTTCCACGTAGGAAATTCAGCAGATTACTGTAATGGTTAATTTTAAAACCCCTGATTTTTACCATGCATTGTGATTCACTAAGATGGTTACAGTATCATTTTTTTATGCATTGAAAAATCAGGACAACTTTTGATAAGACTTCTTGGGGAAGGTGTTACATTTTTTTGGATATATTTTCAAAGGAGAATATCTTAACAGAAGAAGCCTTACATTGGTATCTTTCTATTGTTTCAGGTGGAATTGGAAACTGGAAGAACCGGCTCACTGTTGCACAAAACGAATATTTTGATAAATGGTGGGATGAGGAAACAAAAGATCTCGACATGTTCTCATTCAAATTTGTGTGAAGACAAATGCTGTTATCGCATCAAAACTTAATATTCCTGTAGTACCCATTAAACATCAACTCAACAGTAACTAAATAAAACATTCATCTGATTCTAAGATTTCGTTTTTATTCTATTTATGTGATCTTTGATTTCATTGCTCTTGACGTTTTTTTCAGTTTATTCTCAACCTTTCTCTCGCATCCAAGTTGGGTATCACACAAGGTGCCTTTCTAGTGGTTCTTTGCGAATTTGTATTGCGTTGGCTGCGTTATGTGATGGTTGCTCTTCTTTGTTGACCAAACTATTATGAAATGATGCTGAAACCTATTTCTGTATATTGATGATGAGATATATTAAATGTTAGTATATATATATGCAGTTTATGTATACAGAACTGATGCCAAAATATTGAAACTTGATGAAAGCGTTGTATTATTTTCGGAAATCCTAAAGAAAAGAGTCCACTAATATAATACTGAAACCCGGTGCTGTATCTAAGTTAGCATATATGTTTATACAGTAGAACTTGTGGCGTATTTTTGAAAACTGCGGCAAAAGTACGTTACAGTATTAATTTGAAAAAGCACATGATTTGTTAATGTAGTGGCATTTAATGAAATCGGGGAAAATAGGCTTGGTTTTGTCGGGTTTGTTAATGGGCGAAATATAAGCACCGGCTTTAAAATCACATAAATATGGAAACGGCTTTTAATGAAGAATTTAAGAAATATCCATTTAGAAACATCCGTGCGAAAATTTTTGACACTGACATTTTCATGCCATTAAATAAAATTAATTATATGAGTAGCGGTCAGTGTCTTCTATTTACTATGTGAGTAGCGTTCAGTATGTTAATACGTGGAGACGTCGTCCTCGTGTAGTAGTCCTGCAAAGATAAAACAGGCAATATATATACTTTTATTATATACTATGAAATATTGAGAAAAATTGATGAAATAAAATGCGTATTTTCATGGCCCGTATTTTTACTGTTAAAATTTATGTTTTACTGCTGTGAAACATATTTTCCATTTTTTCACTGGTGTCTTGCCGGACTACTTTCTTCTAAATTCAGCCAATAAACAAAATTTATTGGGAAGTCTTTCAGATTGTAATGTCAAAAAAGAGAAAAATGTATATAATAAACAGAAAATTCAAGTTCAAGTTGTTAAATAGTTATTAAATACAGGATTTGTTTTCATATTGTGGTATAAAACATATCATATTTCACTCGTTGCTACCTCCACTCATGAAATATTTATTTTCATTCCACTCGATGAAAATAAATCCTGTATTTACAACAACAAAAAACTTGAATATCATCAATGTGCTGTACATTAGGCATTAAGGCATATAAAAATGTGTTTTTTATATTGTTTAATGTTTGCGATTTGTTTAATATTTACTTCAACAGTTTCAAGCGTGGTTTTCGAATATCAGGTAATTCAGCCATTTCATAACCCATTTTTTACTTTCCATATATACTTGTAAAAACATTTATATAGTATGAATACTGTATTCAGTGAAAGATTATCTTTAAATTATTTAAAGATGTTGTGTTCTTATCAACAATAAATGGTTGATGTGGAATCTCACTAGAGTTTGCTTATAGTGGAACACCGCATATGGCTCATCACTGTACATAAGATTCGTTTTATATGAAACAATAATACGAGAGTGTTTCAAGAATTCTAGTTCTCTATCAATAGTAAGGTCTAATTCAGCATAGAATTAGTGAAAGATATCTTGTTAAATGTAAACTTTAAAAAATGAAATAAAGAACAAAGGAGAGCATCGCAAAAAAAAACTCACTATCCCAACCCACGATCCACACACGCAAAATCAGACCACTCGCACGCACATGCACACACGCGCACGCACACACTTGAATGGTACCTTGTCGGGCACCGCATAAAGTATCAAGGAGGAATAGTGCACATGGGGCAGGACAAGAAATGATAACAAAAACCTCAAACCGCAACAAACTCAACAGTGGAAAAAAGATCAAATGTGTGCAGATCATATATGTATGACGCAAAAGGGAGTCAGGGAGGGAAATTGCGAAGGAGGGCTACAAAAGTTAAAAAGAGGCCAAATTCATAATTGCTTTTCAGAGTTTCAGAAGAAACGTTGATACCTGCGAAACAAGCTGTGAGGTAACTCGCTACTGTACCCACGATCATTGCTCGAAATATATACCGAGTTATCTCTCCTAACCTCTCTGGTAGCATAACACCATATGTCCCTAGAATCAAACCCATGATTGCAAACGAGGCTGATCCACACAACGCGTATGTAGCAATTATTTCTGATCTGTGCTATAGAAGAGAATTGCACAAAAAAAAAGAAAATGTCACGTGTATCACATATAAGTTATGAGAAGTTTTGACTATGTTTGCTATCATACAAAAGAAGTCTATTTTATGTTTTTAAATAATGTTACCTTTGGTTAACAAAACTATTTATAGATTATAAATTGTTGATTTATTCATATGGATAGACTAACTACAAAACCGTCATTTTTTAAAAATGTGTTTTTTGTTTCAAAGTCATTTTTAAAAACAATAGCACCAATTTGCTTCGTTTTAATATGCATATACATATCTATAAAATAAATACAAAGTTCCGTTTTGGTGGGAAAATATCTTACATCAATAATGCCACCGACTAACGTCTGGTTCAGTTTGTCCAGTACAATATCATTTCCAACAACTGTCCAAGTGTTGTTTACACCGCCGGCAATATATTCCCGATATTTTATACCATTCTGAAAATATATATCA